ACACCCGAGCCTCGAACTCGCGACCTGTTGGTTTAGAAGCCGACGCCTCTACTCACCGGGCCACGAGCCCGTTGCCCTGTCGGTTTTCGATCGGGAATATACAAAAACAGGGCAACGGGCTCGTGGCCCGGTGAGTAGAGGCGTTGACTTCTAAACCAACAGGTCGCGAGTTCGAGGCTCGGGTGTTCCACACTTCGGGCTTGGGTATGGCTGGCTGACGACGGCTAATAAGCCAGAAATGGCCATTCCAGTCTCCCTTGTCTTTGTCGGTAATGATATTCTGCCTATGTATATATATATATATATATATATATATAAGCTGTCGGTTTATGGCCACACACTAGAGCAGAACTTTAGCTTCGCCTTCGAGAAAGCGAGGGTGGCCAGCCGAACTATTGATAAAATGGCCAGACAGGTGCTGGAAAGTTGGTTCTCGACCGGCACGCTCAACCGAGCCATAGACCTACATCCCGCCTACCAGGCACTCCGCGCAAGGCTCAGATCAGTCCAGGCAAGGCCAATGGCACGAATGGAAAGTCACACGGGGTCGACTGCCGACGCTCGCGGGGAGAGGAGAAGGCGCTGACCAAAAGTCACGTGACCGGCGTGGCACACTGTCCCACGGGCGTGCCCGCGAGGCCGGAAACACCACGCCTGAGGAAGAATGATCGATCAGCCCGTCGTCTGACGAGGAAAAGGCCAACGAGCACGCCGACGCAGCGGCAACCACATCAGGCGTGAGGGAGACACACGGCACGCCGGTCCGCCAATGGCTGGGATCAGGAAGGCCGCAATCAGCCAACAGAAAACAGGCTAGCCGACGCACGTGCTCTGGGCACGGTTGTAATACGAGGCAGGCGGCAAGGCTGAGCAAATCAAGGCCAGCAGGAAACGCCAGCGAGCGACTTTGATGATTGAGGCGAGAGTTCCCGAACGCCAGTTTGAATTCAGTCTGGTCCATGAAATCGCTTTCTCCGTCGTCCTCGGGGGATGATCAACACGATACATATGTTTGCTTCAGAGTGGCTTGCATCCATCAATTCAGACAAATATTTACCCCTCAGAATAGTACTTTATGAGTGTGACATGAAACATCAATCAGAGTAACTTACAAGGCGAAAAGCTGTGTTCCAATCATGCAGGCCACCAACGTATAAGGATGCAGGTATGCTATTGACTACTACAAGTCCGAATCCCTGAACTACTACTGACGGGAAGGGGAGGAACCTAACTGTGATAGAGCCCATCGACGCCCTCCTAATTCGCCTTGTTGAAAACGGATGTTAGCAGAAAAACCTCTGTGATGTCGCAGTAGCATCGTACCTGTGCAGGAACAGTCACAACTTGAGCGCGCCACTACGGGCCATCGGCATCCAATGCCTGCCCGGCTGCTTTTGTTGTCAGTACTCGGCTCCTCGAATTAGGACAATGCTAAATTAAACTCTTTGCGCCCTCTTGCAGGTTCCACGAAGAGGGGTAAGACTTAACGGGCAATTCCCTAAAATTATTTAGAATGATAAGGCCTAATAGATGACGGCAGCTCTGATGAGCCCTATCACACGTCCAATTTAAGAACTAGTCCTATAAAAATTGCAAAACCTGTCCGAAAACAGACTGACGACCGTTTTGCCAAGATCGAGATCATGCTGCAAAACCTGTGCGAGTTACTTAGCGAAGAGCAGCGGCTTACACTCCAACACTCACGTGAGTACTGGACGACGGAATGTAAAACATGGTTTATAGGGAGATACGACGCAGAGCACAGCTTCTCCGAGTTGTCACAACGACGAGTCACATAGGAAAATGACCGGCTTCTGTCTGGGGCTCTCCATACAGGGATCCTTTCGGCCTATTGTAGGCGTACAGGGTTAAGGCACAGAGGTAACAACTGAGATTCTGAAAACAGCCTAACAAAGACGAACTAGGACGAGTCCCGTCAACGCCGCTTCCAGGCATATGCACGGGTTTGGCCTGATCAGTCAGGACGACTTGAACAATTATCGACTAGACTTGTCATTGTGGCAACCGCGGACACATCTGCCTATCCCTGGCATCTTGTTACACAGTCCTACATGTAGGGGACCTCAGAAGTGATCGCCCGTCAGCTAAATCAGTTCGGTATCCGCGTTGCCCACAAGCCTGCATCCTCGCCGCGCACAACCTTATCTCGAGTAAAGGATTCTATTCCCAAATAGGAGCAGACTAACATTATCTATCGCATCCCGTGTGCCAATTACCCTTTGCGTATATGTTGGTCATACACGGCGACGCCAGGAAACTCGAATTAATGAACACGAACTAGCTCCCCGTCGCCGTGACCCACTGTCCCCTGTCTTTGCACACGCACTCCAGTGCGACCACCGTTTCAATTGCATGACACCGAGGTCATCGCCACGGCCAACACAAAAGGGGCGAGGGAATTCCTAGAGGCATGGAACTCTAACGCGGACAGCATCAACCGCCACGTTGACCTAGACGTCCATTATCAGGGCCTAAGATCACGCCTCTCTAAGCCGAGCCCCACGCCGCATCAGCGGCCGCTAATCCAGGCGTCCGCATTTCCGCCTACCTACCATTCTCCCTCCCCTCTAACACGGGGAGCTGTAACTGTTCTCTCCCCCCATCCGGCTCAGAACCCAGCATGACCCCCTGCCCGCCTCACTCCTCACACGCTAATGGTCCGCCCAGCAATGTGTGTCGTGTCACGTCAACTAGTTTAGTGTGACTGTCTCACTTTCTCTTTTATTTTCATGTCGTCTGACGACGGGTTGGTGTCACCAACTCGAAAATTCGCGAGTAAACTCGATTTTTTCCGAAGAACCCCTTCCTTTTTCATTATATGGTCTCGGAATGCATAACACTTCTACTATACATATATAAGAATCCGCTTCTCTTTTTCTAAAGGAGCCTGAATACCGCCACTTCCGTTTCACAGATGGCATTGCTTGATTGTTGTTTATTACGCTTACATTTTGATTGATTCCCCACCAGTCTCTAATTTTGTTAACAAAACAAAAGGGACGCCCAAATACAAGTTCTGTTCACACTCATACATGTGCCGACTCCTGTCTTTTTGTTAATGACAAGTAATCTCCGCCTTTTAAGTTACTCTGATTGATGTTTCATGTCACAGTCATAAAGTACCATTCTGTGGGGTAAATATTTGTCCGAATTCATGTATGCAAGGCACTCTGAAGCAAATACGGCAACTTGAAGATAATTATTACCTGCGAAAATTTGATGAATTTCCTGTAAAGATTGAACGACCAGATCATTTTAATTTATATTGACGTCTTTGATGCTTTCTTTTGCTAAACCCCACTTTATTGTAGAGCAGAATGCAGCGGACTATCTTGAACTCCAGTTTCCGGGTAGTTGGGATGATATTTCAGCCCAGCGCCAGTCTCTTTTCCTATGTTCTCTCTGCCGAGCGTTGGGACTTTCTTATTCTTTCAGTCAGCCCAGGTTTGTGAACCGATAAGCCCTTACCGATTATTATAGTGAATCACGTTAAGCATCTTTTTTGATCGCTCACATTCGGACAAATCGTTTATTTTTGCCGTCAGGTTAAAACACTTTCTTAAGAGACTTGCCCCGACTCGTTTAACAGTTAAGTACCACCGACGCACTAGTCGGGGGTGAGTTCAGTCTAGATTCGCGGAGCGCTAGTATTGACTTTTTAAAAAATGTGTATATTCAAGGGCACGCTTTCTGAAGTCGCTATTTCTCGATGAATGCGTAGCTTATTCCGAGGGACCTTCTGTTTTCCTCACGGGTTTTGCCATCAACACAAACTAGTATAAGACTGAAACACTAATTTGCTGAGATGTCTTTTATGGCAAAGTCTACGGGAAACAATCCCTCAGTTTCCGTTATTACTGGTGATTTTTAAAAATCGTCCCTTTTCTGCATCTGAATTTCGGTCGATGCCGGTTAACTTCTACTGTGACCTTCGACTGCAGTTCAATTAACCTTCTATAGTCTACCTTTTAAGGGTTCTTCTTAACCTTACGGAGCCTTAGTGTTTTATTCACTCCTTTAAGTCGAATTAGCGGGGCTTAAAACTTGCCTTTCATGTTTTTCTTTTACAGATCATTTCGTCCTCGCGCCATAGAGCTTAAGCTTCCTGAGAACTGGAAATTTGCAACAACTCGTACCATACCCCAGAAGATTCAAGGTGCGCGTGTACTTATTCCTACCTTTCACGTCCGCCATCCCGGATTGCATTGTATATTTGATAAAGACATTTGAGGTGCTAACTATCTGTTTGTAAGGTATTCGCGTAAGAACGATCGGTGAGCGTCCCCTACCATTATTCGCACACTATTTAACTAGAAGGAAATTAATTTGCGCCGAAACGAACTGAGATATTTGGACGTATGATTTAGTAAATTGAAACTTTTGACGTGCATCATGAAAACTCCCCTGTCTGGACTTTGGTGGTCGATATTCAAATCTCCCTCTGGGATTTCATATGCATGGAAAGCAAGCTGGTGGGAGTAGCTAATAATATGAGGGCGGAAGCCAACTGGCGTTAATGGCGTGAGGATGATTAGTGACCAATCTTATGATGGTCTCAATCCACGAGCCTGTGAAACGTAGGGCATTAACAACTAAAGTTGGAAAAGTAACGTTGCACGTCGACTGAAGTACATCGGAATGATTTCATCCTAATTATTTCTAACACAAGAGGTTTCAGGCATGCGAATACTCACAGATTTGCCGGCACTGTCATCTGATTTGTCTACCTGCGCAAGCTACCCCCTTTTCTTCGCAATAGTTACCTCTAATACGGCCAGACTCCCGTCAGTATGATTAAAAAGGGCATCGCATAAGCCCCAGACATCTACGGACTTTGGAAAGGAGGACTTTCCTTTTTGCACTGGTCGAAATTTGTGTTCCGCCTTACCGCTGACATGGAGAAATACGTACCATCAGCTGAATTCCACTGGCAATGGCGATTCCCTTTCGCCCTAAGGCCCATAAGTCAGTTTGGACCCGGAAGCTCGCTTGTCTTGGATGTTTTGCCTTTCCTGCTACTGTAAGCACGGAGTCGCCTATTGAATTTAATAGGAGTGATCAAAAACACGGAAGTAGGATTTCTAATCGAAGCATAGCAGACTTGCTCATGTAGCTGCGAGTTAACGGACCCACGTCTCCCACAACTGTGCCAAAACAACATCCTATGTGAGGAAGGCGGAAACAGCAGCAGACCCCTCTGGTTACGGCGACGCCTCCAAACCTTAGCCAGAAACTTCTAGTATAAAAACCTCCGAGGCAAAGTTAGAAATCTACAAAACGATGCCGGTGCCAGCTTCCAGAGCTTGTTCGCGTGGCTCATTAAAACACTCTAGATTACCACCTGGTATCCGGACGTCATTCCACAGTTCGTTGCTTCATTCCATATCTTTTTTTGTCCGGAATCAGCTGGCTTCAGATAGCGAGTCTCTCGGTTTGAGGCCCTAAAAATAAAATTCTTTGACCGAGAGTTCCAGGAATAATTAAAATCATGTCTTGAAACTTCCACCCGCCTAGGTCTGCGCAAAAATAATGCAACTAGAGTAGCTACTCTTACCTCTTAAATAAGGCGTTCTTTAGAGTTAAAATACACAAACCACCCATTCCACCCTTCAGTAGCTACTGAATTCCTAACATCTGCAAGTCCACTTTTCTCCATTTTTCAAATCGTAATGGATGTTCAATGAGGACACTTAATTGGGGCTACTACTCACTGAAGGGAATTTATTGTCTCGGAAAAGATGTTACGAAGCTAATTATATTAATTCGCCTTCCATAATGGATTACATCCCGCCTTTCCTTTACGTGAGCGCATCTGTGTTTGCGTTCCTCGTCTATCCCTCATCCTGCTTCTGACATTGAAATTCCTATCGTCACGCGAATTCAACGAGAGAAGAAGTTAATTTGGGCCACGCTATGTTATGTCGAGCAAAAGCCTAATGGAGTTTTAACGAACGTGCAACGCCGTCTTTGGCATTGTGGATGAAAGGGCAGGACACGCAAGGGTGGAGTTGTGAGGCGAGATAAAACCACCTCGACATTGATGCCAGCGAAATGCGGCGTCGATCGTTAAGACATCCTGATGTAGACGAAAGCCAGTTACCATATTAAAGACCTCTTTTCCGTGATTAACAGGAAGTTTCTTCTTGACTACTCCGACGATCGAACACGAGCGCGGTCGTCTATCATGAGCGGACCGCCTCTGCTCGGCAGGAGGCAAAATAAAGTAATTTAGAGATCGTTGAAAATATCTAACTGTTTCCGAGAACTTCTTAAAACCATGCTCTACCTGTGGAATCCTGGGATAAGACAGTTTAGAAATTTCTCGAGGGCCTGCGACCGCTTTCTGTATGCCCAGAGTGGGCATCGAACCATCAGTGTCTCTTCAGAGTTAGTGATGCAAGTGTACAGTTACTCCAGCTAGAGTAAACGCTGTTTTTATATGTTTTTTTTTGGATAAAGCCAAAGGCGCCCTCTCAGCCATCTAGCATGTAACTCGCACAATGATATTTCGGGCACAATTATTCGTCCGAACCATTGTCTTTCCGAGGACGCAGTGGCGACTTTCACTTGGATTCAATTAAAAAAATGGAATTCTTTGCCATACGCCACACTGTCACTTCCATTATCATCATGTTTCTTCCAAAAGGCACGGTTAGGACGACTGGCAGTGGTCGCAGACGCAGTGACTTGCATGACTGGAGCCACGTCTTCGTGTACTACTTGTGTGGTGGTCCCCATAAGTGCAGGATTCGGAACTAACAGGGGGATATATTTTTCACCGGAGGGGCCTGACATAAAAACGAAGTTAGGGAAATGTCTTGCAGACTAATTCCTAGTCCGGAGGAGAAATCAATAACCTCGTTATTTGACGACCGCTGAAACCAGAGATTTTATCTTATCGTGATAGTCTAGAAGTGCCTTTTTCACAGGCAGAAAGATAACTGATGGATCTGCATTTGATTAGGCCCAAGTATCTCCTGTCATCTTACAAATTACAAGTTCAGGTCAAGACGACTTAAGGCGAAGTCGGGCACATTTACTGGCGCGGAGACAGGTGTCTGTCTAAGGCGTGACAGGCCGTTTGTCTTTTTTGAAGGGGGTGGGAAAGTGGTGTCCACCTCACTAAGCTCATTAGCAGTAGGACGAATGAAGTTGTGGAGTTGTCACTCTTGATTGAAACCGTCATACTAGGTTGAAAACCCACTGACCCGTTCGGATGGGGCGATTACTGTTCTCACAGTATTAAATCGCAGGCATTTATCTTATTAAAATTCAGTGAGGGGACGGAATATATCCTGGACAGAAGTTCGCTTTAATAAAGATTCTAGTCGATTTCCACTGACGTATATCCTAGAGATTCTTATGACCGATCGATGAAAGCACAGAATCTACATAGTTTGGCGACACCACTGCAAATTTTCCGATTATTTGTGATCCACCTTAGCGCCATGCCGAAAGCCACAAGCTTTTTCAGTACGCTTTCTGGCAATCGACGCGGCAGCATCTTTCATTTATAATTAATGCAAACCGTGGCTTCCAAAGTTTTGCCTTCAAAAACGATCGAGTAACCAACAACCGACGTATTTTGTTGTGGATTTGTCTTAGGAGTCGAATGATGCTGAAACACTGGTTCGCGCGCACCCTAGAGCTCATTTTTTAAGAGTGCCCTAAGACCTTTTGTTAGACGCCTTGCCGTCGTAAACTTATGACGCCAGTAGGATTTTGGTTCTGGAGACGGAAGTCCGGTCTCGCTTCACTGACTGAGTTGAAGGCGATAGTCAATGTTCATCACAAGCATCTTGAGAAACCCACCCTGCCCAAAAATGCCAAAGTAAACACTACAGTTACCACTCCATTTAACTCCTTAAACTGATGGCAGAGTTAGTCAGGCAAATCAGAAGGAACTTCTAGGCCGCCGTATTGATCTCCGGTAAATGGGTATCAGTGAGTAACGGCATTCAAAGTCGACCGAATCATTCGTCAAGTCAGTTGTAGACAAGTAGTAGCTCATCCGTCTGACCGACCCCATTTAGGAGCTCATCTGCACATGCCTCTCCTATTGGACTCCCCCCTCCCCTGTTAACCATCTAACACCTGAAGGTGTGTGGTTAAGTCAGACCTGGATAGGACCCTAACTTGACGATCCTCGATGTTCGAAATGGAGCGCCAACCGGACACTGGTTGCTAACAGCTTGGCCAGTAATCACAGGGCACGATCACTGGATCGGGATAGCATGGACTGTTGTCGGCTATACTAATGGTAACCGGACCAAGTACAAGTTATTTTGAATTCCACTCACGACGTCAATCCTAACATCCTGGTCAAAACTTCTCGCTGACGTAAGCACTTCCACAACTCTTCGTCTTTCCCCAACCTGCGAGGTGTCATTTGATCCTTTTTTCTAAAGAAATCACCCATGCATCACTGATGCTGCTGGTTAACCAGACACCCGTTATGGATGACATCCCGAGTTAATCCAATGAGTTATTTTCCAATACTCTTGCATTTTGACTCCTTGAGATGTTTGTGTGTGTGCAGTCGTACTTGATTACAGGGGTCAACTGTTCTCGTGTGTGTCTCCAAAGATCAAAAATAAGGAAACACGAAAGTTGCAGCGCTTAAATCTTTGAATTCATCCTTCCCAAGGTATGTTTATGCACGGACTAAACCCAATCTGGACTGTTTTTTATCGGGCCTCGATGAGTCAACGAATTGATGACACCACTACGTGGTGTCGAATCTGATCGTGGTCATCAGTAGCCGTTGACCCTCTCCTTTATGGGCTTCCTCGTGTCTTTCATTAACACTATCGTGAGTTCCTGCTGTAGATAAAAGAGTTGGACGGTGTGCCGCCAAAGTGCTTGTTATAATCATAGCTTAATATTCTACCACGTCGACTTGTGCTCCTATCCCAGTAAGCTCGCTAAACCGTCCAGTATTTGATCATGCCTTTGATAACGCTACATCCTCTCACCTGTACGCTCTAGTTTAACGATTCCCCAGGGTGTTACGCGGGGTTCTATGTCGAAATCGCACGTTGACGCTAGCTGACTAACCTCGATCACGCTGCCCCCTCGCTTTACTAGCATCAGGTTTTGACCCATCGCATGAAGTGTCTCGTGTAACCTTACTTTTTATCTCTGTTGGCTTACATACAAAAGCTACGAAAATAGAAGTGTCTTTGAGCTGCGTATTGCATCAGGCGAAACATTCCTCATGCTTAATGACCGTCTGCCTGATAAATTTAGGCACTTCCGCGGATCCTTGGACCTTCTTACCGTGAAAAGGACACAGTACGCACGACGTCGTGGTACGAAGTCGTGTTAGTTGCAGAATTTTGGCAAGGCTTTGAAAGTGCCAGCAGACTTCTGACACTATTCCGGCTACCATAGTGATCTGTTTGCATTGCACACTGTGAATGCTGGGTCAGGCACGCTTGAAACCAACAGAACTCGGGGTTTCTCATCAATCATTGCCTCGACTCGATTTGCGGACCTCGACTCCTTTGTTGCGACACCATCGCAGGTCGCCTGAGGACGACGGTTGAAGCGGCTTGCCTGCGTTGCTTCTCCATGCTTGTGCGCGTTCGGTGGGCTTGCCTTGCTTTCCCTTACTAGATGCACGTAGCGGCAACCAGCCAAGAATCAAATTCAATGCGATTTATCAGGATGGCATGTATGTTGATTCTCGGCCTCCATACTGGAGAAGTAGGTTGGGGGGGGGGGGGAGAGGGCTCAATATAAATTGGGTCAATAAACCTAACCTGGAGTCAAGTTGTAGGCCCTTCCGGCCTGGAGCTGCCTGGCCCACGATGACAACTAAAAGAAAAGTGGACATTTTGGTTTGTTCTGTTTTTGTAGTCACTTTTCAGTCTATGCATAAATGTCACAATGTCACCGAGTACAGGGGCTTTATAAAGGAGGGCAAACCCCAGAATGAAAAACTCACAATCAGGTTAGATCGGATTGTTTAGCATTACACAGGCCTTGCCAAGGAAGGAGTTCTTCTTCAATTCAAGGCACTTGCTTTTTTCTTGACTAACCGACAGGCATAGTGGATAACTGAGAAACCTGCAGGTACTATGGCGCACATATAGTAGCCGGCATATATCATAAATGTTAACTGGAATTTTGAAATGTGCTGTCGATTAGAAGAGGTTACTTAGATGATGTTGTAATATTGATTATCATACAGCATGATTCCAGGATATTTCAATTACGTCAGGCTGCAGGCTTTCGGTAAAACTTCTTTCCGGTCGCTCGCGTAAACTGCACTCAGCCAAGCATGGCTACTTATATAGTATATTTTTTCGTAGATTTCACTCAGATATATTTTATAGAAAAAAATGGGCAAAAATACCCTTCCTTGTACTCATTTGGTAGAAATTCACGTTTTCTCAAAATTTTTTACCCGATAAAATATTATCTTTTGGTGTTGAAACTTTTTCAATCTCCAGATAATTATAGGCCTGACCCGTAGGATTTCCAAAATTCATGCTTTATACTTTCCGTGTAAGGAAGATTCCACATTTCATCACCCTTTTAAGAAAACACAATGTAGGGCTTTTGAAATTTTGTAATGGATGTGGACAGCGTCATTAGAAATCCCACAACTTTAAACTTTTTCAGGACTGAAAGGTACCCTTCCCTCAAGTATGCAATTCGAAAAAGGACGTAATTTACTACTGAATGAGTACATAAAAACATTATGCGCATGCTTTATATAAAATGTATTTGAAGCAGGCGTGGACAGCAGAACTTATTGGTAACAGCAACTTTCGCAACGGCTTATCAGAGCGAAAAGTGCCTGAAAAATAAGCAGTTTGCCATGTATTTTTGCAGGCGACCGGGATGAATCTCCTGACGTATCTTCGGGTTATGTTACATGATAATCAATCTTACAGCCCCGCTTACGCAATCCTTCCTAATCAAAAGCGCTTTTCGGAATTTTGGTCAACATCTCATGAGATAAGCTAGCTGCTGTATTTTCAGGCAGTCGTTTTGCGCGATTCAGATGACAGGGCTGGAGCACTATAGACCTGTGGATAGATCTTCCCAAAGGCACACTTTGCCGCCACCTAACTCCTGGAAGCCACTCCTCTGTCAGTCATTCTCTTACATGAAGTATCTTTGTCAATCAGGGACTAAAACATTGTTCAATATGGACCTCGAGCAAGCGACGGTTTATTGTTGACTCACAAGGTATCTATACTTTATAAGTGTACGGTTAAACATAGTGGTTGTAAGGGTCCTCGACCAACTAAGTGACACTGCGTGAGTCTGCGGCCACTTTCCGTTCATCTAAGTGCTGCAGTAAAGCTGTGGTGTTAACACCTGTCTGGAAGCACATTGGACACCCGTTAACAGTTTTATGACCATCGGTTTCATTTATGTTTCTGTAACTGATCTCTTACATTATTTGCGGAATTTCTGTCGACCCAGATTATACACGAAATTTATTTCCTGTACGTTTCAGCCTCTCTCACTGCCTGTCGTGCTTGTCGTTACAAACCGAAAGTCAAACGCCTCCCTTCGGTGCAGCCCCCAGGACCTACACCTACGAAATTAGAGGATTTAATGCCGCCGGACGTTGACGGAAGTTGCGAGGATGCTAATGAGTTGGCCAAGTACTGGGCCCAGCGCTATCGACTTTTCTCACGTTTTGACAACGGCGTCCAAATCAACCGAGGTTTGTGTTTACACACGGGTCTCTGGTTTTGATACGTTTCTGCTCACTATTGTGTCGTTATTTTGTAGCCGTCTTGTCTCAACTTCGATTGGTAAGCAAACCGACCGAGGAGAAAAGTAAGAACGGCAGCATCCGGAAAATATCGTTTTATAGTATCCTCCGCCAGCACTGCCAGTAGATTTCCCTCTACGGCTGTTTTCTGGAAGAAAACATTAAGGGTACGGTTCAATTCCCTAGGAGTTCGGCCTTGCATAGATTTCATTGACGCTCAGTTATCCGGGTTTTGATGTTAAGGTGGCGGCCTTCATGCAACGAAGCTTTGATCTTGTCCCTGTCTAACGTGAACGTAGCATCTTCGCTCACGATTCATTGGTGCTTCAGTTTAGTTGTTTAACATGCAGTTAGAGTGTGCCTTTTTGGTCACCTGTTACACTTTCATCGAACTCCTCAATCTATTCAGGGAGAAGTTCTATGGTCGTTAAAAATCTTTAAATTTTCTCAGACCGGAAATGCCATGTCCTTGTGTTACGATACTTATATGTGATCTGTTTATGACACATACACATGTGAAATCTGAGTTGCCTTCCTCGTGAGAGCCTGGTACACGCCGCGTAGGAGCCGGGTCGTGTGTAGCACGCGTAGGGCTATTTCAAGTATGGAAGTCTCTATTGAAATCGATCTGCCCATCGTCGCGATTCTTCCCGTTCTCTGGGAAGTATAGTGGCGCGTAAATTTGTACCAATTACAGGAATTTTCATGTTCATACATTAGCCTTTCTGTAAAAGTCGTCCTCCAGTTGACCCGGATAATGTTCATGTGAGAGTTGTAAGAGTTCTGCCAAATTTTGACAGTGCCCAAATGGACTTTAGTGGAATTACGAAAAGTATTCTGTCAACTATTCTTTCTGTGTGCAACTTAGGATGTGATGTATGTGCAGTAGTGGACACGATAGATTACAGTTATAAGTACCCTTTTATCACGGATGTCCATGTGCTAAATTCCAGATGGTTAGAAAGAGGGTTGGGGTTAGTGTTGGAGTTAGGGTTAGGAGGATTACCGTCAGGCTTTGGGTTGGAACAGGGGAATAGGTGTCCTCCCCTGAAATTTATTTCAAGGTCACCTACAGCACAGAGGGCGTATCTATTCCCGTGTCCAACCATAGACTTTACCACTGAATTTGGCGCCTCTGACGAATGAAGGCTTTCTTCTAGCGATAGAGTCTATTTCTTTACTGCCCCTGGGCATTAGCACCTTTGGAGCATCGGGGAACCCGTTCACAATAAGACGTTCAAATGGAAGTTAGGCGGCCAGCGCTAATCTATTAGCTCCCATCTTAAAATTCCCGCCTCGTGCTTCTGCCTGTGGGGCGCAACATTATTCATGCCCGAAGTGCAGGTGTCGGAACTCTCTCAGCCAGTTACTCGAACAAAATAGAAAATTTTTACAATTGTATGCAGAGTTTTGTACTTTCTGAAAGGCAGCCCCTTCTCGTCATTTTCCAAGTGGGCGAAAAGTGTTTCGCGAACGGTAGTTTGGGACAGTGGATTCTGCTCTTTTCTCGACCATCTTCTAGTCAGAAGACATACGCTGAACCCCTTTTCTTCAGTACAAGAAGAATTTTCGTACTTTTGACCACAGTCATAAGTACTCGACAGAGTAAGCTTTTCGTTGGCATATTAGTTTACTACTGTTCCACAATCAGGCTGAGCTTGTATTCACTTCATCGTTTGGTGAGATTCTGTCAGAATACGTTTAAGTATTGACTGAAAACCCTTAATGTTGCTATCACTAGTACACTTGATAATAGATGAGGCCACCATTAATTGAATGCGTATGACCTTTTATTCGTCAGTTACTGTGAGACTCGATCTTCACCTTCTATAGTGTGGTATTTTTTGATTATCTAGTAAACATTAATTTGCGTCAGGTTGCCATTTTCCTGGACAGATTTCTAAAGATAACTAGACACTTAGTATTTTCTATCATGGCCACTTGCTTTGAGATGGTTTCTGTCAGGTCTGTTCTGTGAATAACTAGTTCGAAGGCTACTCATGTTATCAGTGGTCCTTGTCTGTCTCTAAATTTCGGATTTAGGTCGCATTGTTTTGCAATTTACTGTCAAAAGGAACCCCTTAAATTGAAGTGGAACCTCGATAAGATCAGATGAAACAGTGTGACGATTTTTCGAGATGCACGCATATTTTCAAAAACCGCGGGACACTTCGAGTACTTTCTTAGGTGTATTCCGATGTGTCGGACACCGTCACTCGATGTGAAAAATAAGAGATGCCCATTCTCTGCAGTGGACGTCAGGCCCTCTGTGTTTCAGCCTCGAATTCTGAGCAGTCTCACGCAGCATTTCGAATCAGCCGTCAGAAAGTTTGCTCGTTATTTCATCTGAATTCTACAACGACGGCTTTGGGTCAGACAGAGTCGTGGTGAGACGACATTAGAGCGAAATTAACCCTGATGCCGGCTCAATATTTCATTAACGCCTTTTTGCGTTTGTAGATACAGGGCGTTTTGGGTGCGTTTTCTCTCATCGCTTGTTTGATCTTTTGCTGCTAACACTGAGACAGTCAGCAACCAGGCTGTAGCCCACTAAGGCGACAAGCCTTATGGAACTTGCGGCCGTTGATGCATGTTTTGAGACGGGAGTGCAGCTATCCTTACCGCTCGTTAAATTCGGTTGGCCGACTGGCTAAAAGTGACGTAGCGTGTCCAATTTTCGCATGCAAGGACCTCAGAAAGTTGTTAAATGTTTCCGGAATCTTTCGAATACCATGAAAATCAGTGCTGGTGGGCTCCGAAGTATCGTTTTGCTGCAGTTCTTGAGCATTTAGCAACAGCTATCTGCTGTCATTTTGTCCCACATTAATGTCTCACATCGCGACATCCACATCCTTCGTCGTTAAATAGTGTCTTAATGCACCAATTTTTTCCTCATTGTTAGATGGCAGTTCGGCCATCGTGAACGATAATGTCCACCGTGTGCCCAGCAACAGGTTGGGTGCAGTAGCAGTGACGTGCGTGCGACTTAGTTTGTACCGACTGCAGACTTCAGCAGCATCTACCGCATTCCCGCCCCCTTCACTCATCTGGCCTCGTTGATAAGAAAAATTCGACAAGATCGGAAGCAGGATCAGGCGCTATGTCGGGCAGGGCTGATCAACCCGTCTACGTGTTCCACACGCGACCTGGCCCCGCCACACACCAGATTTTAACAGGAAGGGGGTTGGCGGCCAGAAACTCGCATACGTCGAAGCGTCTTAGTGGCCACATTGGGAAGTAGACATGAAGCCGAGCTCAGACCACCACACAGATTTTCATGTAGGCGCATATCGCAGAATAGTCCCATACGACTACTAATTGTACGTGAGTTGTTCGGACAGTTGAGAAGACGACGATGGATGTATATTGGGGCTTCTGGCACTTTTTCGGCAGTCTTAATGCGGAGGATTCACAAGTGACTGACCAGACGAATCCGTGATGTGCATCTGCGGGACTTTACGGGCCCACAACCCCAATAATCATGGTTACGTAAGGGTTTCCGCTGTTTTCATAATTATGCTTCCTCCTGGGTGCAAGTGGTTCGGGAGGTCAGACATTTCCGTGTTGTAAGTGCCAGTTAGCCTTCCTCTGTAGTGCAAGGCCAGCGTCGCACCCACTGGAGTTGTCACTATGTTGGCTCTGATTGCAGGCAGTCTCGCTCTCATGTGGTCCCAAGAAAGTTCGGCCGTCTCTGTTGGTCGCGCCTTTCGTTGCAGAACGTCATTCTGCGACCCATAGATGCAAAGACTAGCCAACGCCTAATGCGTCTTGCAGGCAAGGTCATGTCTCCTCAATCTAGCTGTTTCAGAGAATTGTGTTCATTCTACTCACTTGGGACGCCGCCTATATCTTTAACAGCTTTTCTGGTATTGCGTTGTCGTTAGAACTTATTCACTAATTGAGAGTTTTTATTGTGAGAATTTCGCAGTTACTCATCCTACGCTATCATTTTAGAGGATTATTGACGCAAGCAAAGCGCTTTTTACCTCCAGCCATTAACATTTTTAATGGCAACCCCCTTGTTTATTGTGCAAATAAGTCCTTTTGCCCAGCGATTTGCTCCCCAGATTGCTCTTGCCTCGCTAACTGCCACCGGTCGCTTAGATAAGGCCATGGGGCCTGGAACAGATGTTTTTCCCGGCGAACGTGGCTGGAGACCGGCAGTTAGCGATGCTGAACGTCAGCAAACTGTATCTTGCGTCGGGTATGTAATTCATTTAGCGCCTTTTCTGCCTCCGACTGAATATTTGCATTTCCCGTTGGCTCAGGGAGCATCGCAAGCGAAATCTATCTTTTCTGTAGCCGTTAATGCAATCATCGGTGTCTATGCTTATTTAAGTTACTGTCAACCCCCCCTCCCCCTAGCACCTCTGTTTTTCGACAAAACTGCGTTGAGTCGACTGCTCAGGTGAAAAGTCCTCATCTGTCCGTGCTTGTACTTTTCACGGGACGTGAATTTGGGGGGGGGCGGTCATTCCTGGGGGATTAGCACCGTCACAGACTGTTAACAATTGGCAAAACTCCTTTTGAGAAGAAGCATAATCAATTGCTGGCGCAGAAATTTTTATTCGCCTGACATTTTGGCATCACCGTCGAATCCGCTACCAGAGACCGCACAAGATAAGAGTAGCGAATGCACATGGGGCGCGGTATTTACACGATGCGCCTGTTATGCTTTCTCGCGCTCATTAAAATTACCAGTCCCTGAACTAGTCGCAGATGTCTGTACGATTGCCTGATCGTCCTTATGCAAGTCATTATTGCTCGACCGTTTGGCTGACCTGTACAGTCACCGGAAACAGTGTTCCGCGGCGGACTACCGGACCAATACCTCTACTTAGACAACATCTTAGCGCTAAATAGGGAAAGGAAGATGGTCACGCATTGGTGTGTCAAATGGCATGTAACCGAACGTATTTTGAATGGAATACGCAATAACCACTGGCAGGGTAAGTGCATATTGCTTTTTCAGCGCAGGACATCCAAACACTACCTCACATTAAAACCCAGTTGACGTGTTAAGGCGAGTAAGACAGTGTTCTTGAGGTATTGACGGCAGAAGCTTTAACTTTCAAATGGCAGTTCTTCCTTGTAACGTCTGAACGGTACCCCGAAACAAGTGCACAACTGTTCATTTTCCAACTTATAGTCATTGCAAATTTGACACATCATTCTTTTGAAAAGCCGGTAACTGCAAGTTAGCCCAGGAAATGTGTTCCCGAAATAATCTTTTTTCGCAAGAATGCAAATTCTGTTTCTATTAGTCCTTTCGACTTTTAGACATTGCTTTCTCAGCAAAGCAAGTCCTATTTAGCACCTATGCCATATTATCAATTTATCGCCACTCTTGGAAGAATCATTATTTTCTCTTCTCTCCCACTCGTTTGTTCCCATCAGAATATGCGGTTGTCAAAACTAAAATAATTAATCAGATCTTGAAAGCATTTGACATATAGCCTTAGAGAACTTTGTAAAATCATAACATTGTGCTTACCAGACCGGATAAATGTTCAGGAGTAGTGCTGACGGATAGAACGGATTATGTGGCGAACCTAGAGGAAATACTGTCGGATCATTCCAAGTTCTCAAAGTCCAAGAAAGATAAGGATCGTAAGGAGGCTGTCGAGGGTCAGTTGACTATTCTCAAAGATCTCTGCAAAGAAGGCCCTTTATATAGCAAGGAGACTGAGACCGGTGGGCTCAACAATACCAAGAATGTACGGTCTTCCTAAAATTCGCAAACAAGGACTGCCTCTACGTTCAATCTTGGATATGAGAAATTCGCCCTATCATACCGTTTCAAAAGGGTTAGTGGAAAGACTAAAGCCATTGCAAAGTTATCTGTACCCTCGCAGTTTAAAAGACGGACGGAGGATGTTATCACAGGATGATTCATCGCTGTTAACCAACGTACCCGTGTCAGAAACAATCAATTATCTTTGTGATGTTATTCGTGATACGAACCACCCCATAGACATGCCTGTGAAAACCCTAAAACAACTACTGACACGTTGCACACAGTGTTCATTTTCTGTGCACCAGTCAACTATACAGGCAGGTAGATGGTGTGACAATGGGCTCACCGCTTGGCCCGTCCCTCGCAAATGCTTGTACGGGCAAAGTCGAGAAAAAAGTTTGCAAGATAC